GGGGTGGTGGGGTGGGGGAGCGGGGTGGGCGGCGGAGAGGGGCGGGGCGAGAGGCGGGATGGGGTGGAAGGTGGGAACAAAAGTGCGTGCGTGAGTGGAGTTTTCACTACCAGCACCTACGTCCTTAACGACACTGGAAGCGGGCATCTGCTGTCCAGGCGCTGGCTAGCCGGGCAGTAGGTATCTACCTAAGTGTGCGCGCGCATGTGTATGTGGATGTGCGTGTATAGCTCACGAGCAGAAAGACAAGCTCAAAACCGACTGCGTATCTGTATTGCACCCCCTACCCCTAACAAACAGCCTAACAACCTAACAATAAACACAGGCACGACGTTGCGCTACCTATACTAACAAGCCGCCTCTCAACACACAGCAAACTAAGGGGGTAGAGAGTAAAAGAGAAAAAGAAAGCGAAAGAAAAACGCACCCACCCCACCTCCGCACTTTGCACCACAAAAAGGCCATCATATTACACTACGATTTATCATCACCATACCAGGCGTCATCGCCGTCATTACAGCGCACGCATAAAGCCCACCACGCACAAGCATTGCCAACAGGCGTTACCTCGTTGTTTTGGCGAGGCGAGTGTGCGTGAGGCGCGTGTAATGCGTGCAGTGCGTGCAGTGCGTGTTGTTTTGGCTGCGCTGGATGCTGGTGATGGTGTTGTCTGCATGCTTTTGGCTTTCGGGTAGGCAGGCCCCGTCCCCGGTGGCGGAGCTTGGGCTGCTGAGATTTGTCGTGCTTGTGGTTGTGGGAGCATCGATGTGGTGGTGAGGGGAGGGAAGGGCGTGTTTTGGCATGCATCTTGTAAAAAGGGACTGAGTGATACTGCGAACATAGGTATCAAGGACGCCAAGCCCATCACCGTCTAGCACAATCCTAGACATTTGGATGTCTACCTACTGCCCGATCCATAAGCATAAAACACCTCCCCAACCCAACCCCAAAGCAGCACCCCAAACACCCCCTCACAAGCCTCAACTGCACCCCCACCGCCACAACCGGGAGCACACTCACAACCTCTCCCAGCCTCCGCATACGCGGGCGGCACTCTCGCACGCGGAAACGCGCCAGCCGCCAACAACACCGCCGCAGCGTTATACAGCGCCGCCCAAGCAAAATTGCACTTAACGCGCGCAGCCGCAGCGCGTCGGCGGTGAGGACCGCGTCGGCGGCGCTGGCGGCCACGGCCGTCCCGCTGCTCATGTGCACGCCGATTTGCGCCTGGGCGAACGCGGGGGTGTCGTTCGTCCCGTCGCCGCAGAAGAGGATTACTGCGTTTGGGTTTGCCTGATGGAGCTGCTGGATGTAGGCCTGTTTGTCGCGGGGCGAGCAGCGGGCGCGCGTGTTTGTGGCTGAGACGGGGCCGGCGTCGTCGCCGCTGACTATCGAAACGGCGATGTTGGAGGCAGCGAGGGAACTGATTACGGCGCGTGCTTCGGGGCGGAGAGTGTCTTGCAGGGCGTAGACGGCGCGCGGGGCTCCGTTGATGGTGGCGCAGAAGACAGTGAGATCTTGTGAGAGGAGGGGGGTGAGTGTTGGGTCTGTTTCCATGCCGAGCCAGTGAGAGTTTCCGGCGCGGATGACGGCTCCTTCGATCGAAGCTTCCATGCCTTTGCCGGGGAGAGACTGGATGTTTTCGATCTTTGCTTCAACAGCGCCGTTTTTCTCGAAGTGGGCTGCCACAGCTATAGACACTGGGTGCTTGCTCGCACGAACAAGTGCAAAGAGAATCTGCGTGACAGGCTCGTCGAAGCCCTCAAGTACAATCTCACGACAAACACTGAGGTTGCCTTGAGTAAGAGTTCCGGTCTTGTCCAGCACGACGTGCGTTGTTTTCCGCGCAATTTCCAGCGTCTCGGCCGTTTTGGCAACCACGCCATGTTGAGCCGCGATCCCACTGGCCACGACAATGACGATTGCCACGGCAAGCCTAATCGCGCATGGGCAGGACACGATTAGGGTGGCGATGGTATAGGTGGTTGCTTGTACAGCTGATTTAGACCCACCTTGGTGCCGCACGGCAACTCCGACGGCTACCTAGATGGTAAACACGACGAGCGTGATTGTAATAATAATAGGGACGAAATATCCCGCTATTTTATCTGCAAGATCCTAGATCTTTGGCCTCGACATCGTGGCTTCGTTAACTATAGCCGCGATTTTGCTTACTGTGTTAGACCTAAGAAGTCGAGCGAAAAGAGTTCCCGAGCCGTTGACGGAAGCTGCTATAACCGGGGATCTAGACTCTTTAGGTATTAATTTAGACTCGCTAGTGATTATGGACTCGTCCACCTCCGAGGATCTAGAAATGGTAACACTGTCGGTAGGAATTCACGTCTCTGAAAGGACCTTGAAGATGTCGCCGAACTGTAGTAAGCGCGCATCGATCTCTTCGTAAGTTCTATTATCCGAAGAAACAAGAGTAGTCGGTGCTTGCAGGGAGCGGATAGAGACGCTTTTAACAGCTTTTTGGTGCGCGAGAGCACTGAGGAATCGTCCGACCATGATTAAGGTTATAAGTAGCGTGCTAGTCTCGAAGAACTCGCCGGTAGGAAGAGGGTGTCCTATGACTATATAGGCAAAAGCCACAACGGAGAAGACATATGCTGTAGTTGTGCTGAGGACGATGAGGAGATCCATTTCGATGACCCGAAAGAAGATGAGGCTTCGGAGAGCGCTCAAATAGAAAGGCCCGGCAATTGCGACCTGGACAATGGTAGCAAGGGCCAATGATGCATCACCATAGGCCAACTCGTGTTCTGAGAGCGGCGTCCACGCGATGACCAGCACGGGGATAGTGAGCAGGGCGGATATGACAGTGGTCCGGCCAACGTCCCACACATGTTTGCGTCCTGAGGCAATTGACGGAGGTGCCCGATGGGGTGCTAGTTGCAACGGAGGGCTGAAAGCATGATTGACCAAATCGCGAGCTCCGATTATTTTGGGGTCATACTGTAGAGTCACAGTGTCCTTGTCCACGATCGACGTGCCGACTACCCCGGGAGGCATCTCGCGGGTGAGGAAAGCTTCGGCGTCACCACCCGCAAGGACTTCGATGACTTCGAGCTCTTCGTTTTCGTTTCTGACTCTTTCGAATTTGAAACCGGTTTCCTTCTCGAGGCGGACCTGGACCTGTTCAGCCGAAAGGATCCGGCTATCGATGTCAAACTCGGCTCTTGAAAGAAGCAGACTGGTCTGGACACGAGTCATGGCTGGAAGGCTGTTGAGGGACCTTGTCAGTTTTGTTTCGCATCCGGTGCATGTCATGCCTTTGACAGTCAAGATGACACGCTCATTCTTGACATCTCCACGTTCCACGTCGACCAAACTAGCATTTGCAGAGACGGGTTTGGAGTCGGTTTCTCCTTGCACCAGGCATCCTTGCATGCAGGAGTCTTCCTACTAGCGCTGATATGTGGGCGTTCTGTAGATGTGTGACTGCGAATTGGCTCTGTGCTTCTGATACGGCCGGCAGAATCCTCCTTTGAATATAAAGAAGCCGTCGACCTACTTCGCTCGCCTTGCCTGCCTCGTCTGCGCCGGATAGTCGTCTTATTGCAGCAAGATTCTAGGTTCATGGCAAGGAGGGTCCTGCAAATGCATCCCAGTGCCTCCAGAGAAGCTTGGTATTGGCTTCGAGCTTTCTTCTTGTGGTGTTCGCACGCGTCGCCACACTCTGTGGGTTCTTTGGAGCACTTTTCCGAGAATTCTCGTCGAGTGATCTCGTCGAGGCAGCCGTCATCGCAGCATTGGGCTTTCTTTTTCCCCGTTCCTGAGCCAGCTTCCTGACAAGCGGTGCGAGTGCAATCCTTAGAATTCGCTTGCGTGGGTGCGGGACTCGAGCAGCAGCTACGTGCACATTTGTTCTCTGACTGGTCAGTCGGAGCACCAGTCGGGAGGCTAGAGCAGCTGTCCTCCGACTTGCGGGGAGAAACATTGATCGGCGGAGGGGCGGAACAGCAGCCATCTGCGCAACTGTCATCTGACTTCGGGTTTACTGGCTCAGTCGGAAGGGAAACACAGCAGTCGGATGTACAGCTGTCCTCGGGCTTACGAAGAGAAGCCCTGGCCGGTGGCTGGGCGGACGAACAGCATCCGTCAGCACAATCACCCTCCGACTTCCGGCTGACTGTTTCGGTCGGAATGCAGCAGTCGCCTGCACAGCTATCCTCCGACCTCCGAAAAGCACCTGAAGTGTTGGTCGGAACAGGATTGGAACAACAGCCGTCCGCACATCCCTCCTCCGACTGGTGAGGGACAGCTTCGGTCGGAGAGCAGCAGCCGACAGCGGTGCAGCCTTCCTCAGACCGATGGACCGAGATCGACGTCTCTGCGTGATCAGGCCGGGAAGAACAACAAAGGTCCATAGCAAAAAACTTTACTGTTTGATAACAGACAAAGTCTAGGCAGATACGGCTTCGTTCAATCTGCCAAAAGTCGTTGAAGTTGAGAGGTGGATGACCTTCCAAGATTCCGATCAGAAGCTATGGCCTCCACGCTTGAGCCGATAGGGCAAGAGACCTTCTATGTACTACATCAAATGTCACAGTGTTGCTCCAAATCGAAGATCTAACAGCACTTTATCAATCTCGTAAACAAGCATGTAGACAGCTGTTGGTCTAGATAGGCTTGGCTTTAACGTCCATCACTGTCAAGCGAGACAGTACCTTCAATTGAAGCCTTCATGCTTTTACCGGGGAGAAACTAGATACCTTCACCCGATATCTAACACCATTTCCCCCAAGATGGCCATAACGATTGTTTAGGAGAGTTGGTCACTCTTGCGCTTGAGGTGATCGCGGTGCTTCTGCTTGGGAATGACAGACAGCCGGATATTCCTGATTCGCTCCCTGAATTCGTCTTGAAAATCGCACCCCGGTTGCTTTATAATTGTTTTCTCAAATTCGTGAAATTGCCAGTGTCTAGGGCTTCGCAACACCTTTACTCTTGCCAGCGTTTTGTGAATATCTTTCAGTGTTGCTTTCGTCGACAAAGGCCCTCGTCGATCACGCCATAGGCCTAGTCGGTGTAGTGGCAGGGTCAAAGAGCCGCAGGTCAAGGCATCACATTCCGCTCGTGATTCAGAGGTGTCCAGACAGCAGATTGTATGGTTGTACTTGTGGAGGTACTCATCCACGACGTTGAGAAGAGCATGCAAATGCATTTCTCGAACCTCGATAATGCTCTCTGTAAAATCATGCTGTGAGTATCGGAGACTAGAATATCTAGAGGTGTCCCATACCTATGATATCCGGAGGCATGGGGAAATCGTATTCGGTCAAAGGATCGAATACTCTGCCGCTAGGCGCCTCCAGTTTTCCGGAATCATTCATTTTTATGTTGAGAGCCAGACTGTTTGCCACGTTATTGAAAATGGCGCCATCACCGTACTCCCATGCGATCCACAACCACTCTTCGTAGTCGCCACTCTCTGGAGGATACAAGTTTGCCAGCCACTTCTGGATCCACGGGCGGACGGAGATAGTGGCGAGATACTTGTCGGTCAATATGGACAAAGATAGGAGTGTCTCAAAGTCCAGCTCGTTTGGCACGTTGTGGAACTGAAGATGGACAATGTTCAGGAAGACTGTCAAGCCTCGGGTATCCTCTTCTGGTAGAACGATTTCCTTTTCTTTTGCTTCTTTGAAGCAACTGCCAGGACCAATCATCTTTCGCCAATATGGCGATATCAGGCAAAGTGGTTGAGAGGCAACTACAAAGACCTCCTGTCCATTGCTGAGGATAAGCTTAATATCCCCATCAGGGGAAAACCATGATGTTGTCGGAGATTTGGGGCATAAAGTTTCGGCATCAGTTTCGGCACCGTCGCTCTTGTTCATGGCGTGCAGTCGAATTTCTTGCGTGTTGCGGGTTTTGTTTGTATATACAACGGTGAGACGACGTTATATGCGCTTAGTTAAATAGCTCGGTTAACCCTAGGATGAGGTGGAGTAGTTATGAAGCAAAGTTGATTGAGGTATCAAGCTACTGGAGCGTCGCGCGAAAACAGGCGCATCAGCAACGCTGACGAAGCTACGCTAACTACAAGAGGCAGGTACTAAGCCGCATGGAGGGCTGCAGTCATGTGCCAGCGCCAGCTGGCTCGACGCGGGGTAACCTGGCACGTAGTAACTGCAGTGTGTACGTACCTAGAGATCGCGATGAAAGGCTGCGGTCTCGTGAGATCTGTGTTGCCTTTTTTTTTTTTTTGGTGGACGGTGAGATTTTGGTGAGGTGGGAGGTTGATAGCTGTGCTTGGTGGACATCTACACGTATGTTGATAAGTGGATTGTTCTTATGCTGGTATCAACCATTTGTTTGCTTATTATGTATTTAAGAAACCCGCCACACCCTACAGCGCGGCTACCAAGTCATGTATCTAGGAATGCATCTCCGACTAGGCGTACCTATGCGTCTCCTCTACCCACCGAACCCTCCCACGCTATCCACGACACTCACTCTATTTCTTCTTACTCCCCCTCCCGCCCCTCCCACTCTTTGGCTTCGTCTTCCCCTTCGCCGCCTCCTTACCGCCACCACCCCCGCCCTGTCCTCCGCTCAACACAACCCTGACCTTACTAACCGGCACGACGCCATAAACCTCCGTCTCCTTCCACGCCTTGATGCACTCGACCTCGCGCGGCCAGATGCGCTCGACGTCTTTCTGCTGGCGGTCCGTCCACCGCGGCTCCTTGAACGCCGCGTCCCACTTGCCCAGGATCTCCTTGACCGCTTTGCCCTTCTTCGTCGCGCCCGGCTGCAGCTTGACCTTGTACTTGTAGGGCGCCAGGGCCATCCACGGCGCGCACACCGGGATCGCGGCCACGATCTCGTCGCCCACTAGTGGCCTTCCCGTGAATGCGTCTAGGCCTACTTGCTCCAGCCGCGCGGCTTCCTCGTCCAGCTCGTCCGGCTCGTGCACTTCGCCTTCCAGCGCCGCGCGCCGCTTCTCCTCCTCCGCGAGCCCCTTTTCCTGCGCCCGCAGGTGCTGCTCGCGCCGCCGCTGCTTCTGCGCCTGTTGCTCTTCTTCCTTGCTGGGCTTGTCCTCTTGCGCCTTGGTCTCGGGGCCCTCACCTGGCTTCTTAGCTCCCAACAGTCGCAAGGCCAGCTCACGGTCCTCCTCGTCTTGGTCCGCGTATTTCTGCGCAAGCTTCTTGGCCTTGGCGCGCTTGCCTCTCGGCAACGGTGCCTGCTTCGGTTTGGGAGCGGCGCTGTTGCCCTTGCTGGCTGCTGCTGTCTCCGTAGCAGCTGCGCTTGAGCCTGCGTCCGCTTCACCGTCGGATCCATCAGCGCCCCTAGAAGCGAGGATCTCATCTGGATCGACACCCTTGCGTACGAGGCGGCGCTCGCGCGCGGAAAGGAAGCGTTTGCCTTTGTTCGCGGGCGCCTCTGATTTCACAGAGGATCCATCTTTTTCATGCGCTTCTTCTTCGTTTCCGGACAAGGCCTGAGCGGGAGCTGTGACGTCCTCTTCCTTTTTGTCCTCTTCAGGCGATGAACTCCTTTTCACTGCTTGCTCCGTAGCCTCGGATGTTGACTGCAGCGGGTTGCTGCGCTCTTCCTCAGGCGACTTCTCCTCGTCGCTTTCCTCGTCTGCAGAGTTCAGCTTGGCGTCAGGGAAGTCCTCGTCGCTGTCAGATTCGTCATCATCAGCTGGTTCATCAGCATTTGGCTCCAGATTGCTACCACCCGCAAGGGGCTCTTGCTGTGATGCGGTGGCAGGCTGGCTAATTCCATCATTTAGCCTGTGCTTGACGTGATTCGCTTTGCTCTCTTCGCTAATCTGGAACAAGACCGCGAACCCAAGGAGTAGCTGCGCAGGAGGCAGAAAATTCTTCTTTCCGCGAACGGTGAAGCCACCGGCGGCGAGGTACTCGCCTGTGGATGCGGTCTTAGATACCTGATCCGCATTAACCCACCAAGCGGACATGACAGCTTTCGAATCCCATGCGCTTGACGTGGAGACGCACAGGTTGCCAGCTTGAGAAAGAGTCGAGGGGGGGATAGGCGCATCAGGTGTCTGTGGGTTGTTCTTGATGATTACGGAAGCAGCATTGTTGAGGTCGGCATGAACGTAAATGTCGCCCTTCTTCAGGTATCTCCGGTACAGGATTTCGTTCTGCTGAGCATCCTTACCCCTGTGATACCATTAGTATGTTTTGTTAATAAACTGATGCGGTGCACGACAACTCACCCAAGAACCAAATAGCCATCTGACGAGAGAAAGTACATGAACTTCTCAAACCAATATTGCTTCCTCACCGGCCTTAGTACTTCCTTTTCTTGCTTGAGACCCTTTCTCAGATCAGCGCTGATCTTTGCCTCTGTACGCTTGAGAGCCATCTGAGATGCTTGCATTGTCTTCTCTTCTTTGACAGCAGCGGACTTCTTTTGATCAAAGTAGTTCTTGGCATTTGACCACGGCGACAGTTCGAGATCGACGTCGATTGTTAACCTCTTATCCGCTGGCTTTTGGGAACTTTTCTTGACAGGCTCCTCCTCTTCCTCATCTGATTCCGATTCACTCTCGGTCTCGTTACCCTCAAAATCCTCGTCCTCATCATCGACACCTGGCTCCGCAAGAAGCAACGTAGCGACGTTCTCGCGCAACTTAAGCGGCAGCTTGATCATTTCTGCCACAGGATTGCCATGTTTCTGCTCCCTTTCAATGAGTCGATCAATCTCGACCCAGTCCATACCTTTTTGAATCAAACCGTTTACAGCATCCATCGCTTCTTGGACCCTTTCAACGTTGGCCTGGATAGCTTCGGCTTTCCTCACGTTCAACTCCTGGACTTGTTGCAAGCCACCGATACGGTTGGCATGCTCCTTTCTAGCCTGTTCAAGCTTCCGCTTGGCAGTTTCTTCCTTTTCCTGTAGACGGGATTCCAGTTTTTGGCCTTCAATTGAGGAGAAGAATTCATCCACAGTCTTGTTAAAGCCCTCAAACTCCAAGAAGACGGTGTTTTCCTCGCCTTCAAACTGCTGAGGCCTAAATGGATGGAAATCCTCGTAGAGCAATTGTTCCGTGGGCGCCTTTGCCTCGGATCCATCTTCCACCACATCTAGAGAAGGCTTTTCCTTCTTTTTGGCAATGATGAAGCCCTTTGCCGTCTCAGCACTCGTGATCTTTATATCTACATCTTTCGCTGCTTCTAGGGCTTTCATGAGCTGCTCCATCAAGGAATCGTCTTCGAGTACCTGGTCCGGCTTGACAGTGGCGTCGAAATTTGTAACGGCAAATGCGTGGTCCACAAGCATAGGCGGCAGCTCGGTGATTGACACAGCCAGCGCTTTCCGCAAAGCATCTTTGCCTTTTCTTTTAGACTTCTTGTCCGTAGCTTCTTGCTGCTTTTCCAGAGCTTTCTGCAAACCCTCTCGGACACGCTCCTTGGTCAATTCGGGTACACCGTTGTAGTTCTGCCGCAAGGACAAATTGTACTGCAGGCCAACTCTTAACCGTTCATGCTCGGCGCCCTCTTCAACCGTACGCAGAAGCGCCAAGATGTTGAGGTCGGCATCGGTAAGGATGATGTTGCCGCCAGCATAGAACTCCAAGTAAAGCCTGTACAGGCCGTCGGAGAACTGCAGCTCGATGATTCTGTCCGTTCCAACTTGGGATATCTTGGTGACGCGGCGCGTCTTGAGGAATTTACGGAGCCGAACGACAAATGGAGAGGGCGCAGTGGCGGTGGTGCGTGAAAAGGCTGTGAGATGGCATCGGAAGCCGGAGTCGACGACCAGTTGCTCGCGATGGTTAGGCTTCTGGAACTTGAAGAGGAAGATGCGCTGCAATTCCCTGTCAGCCATGAATAATACCCGGAAGGTTGCGACGGCTTACGGTCGACAGGTCATATATGTTAGCGACGCGCAGCGAGCAAACGCTGGTGGAGAGCTCGTGGGCGATGACCTGCAAGGTGTTGTTAGTCGAAGGCGGGGTCGTGGGGGCTCCGAGAAGCATCTCACCTTGACGTCGAGAGAGGAGAATCTCTGCTTCATCTTGCGCGGGGAGGGTTCTCTGTATGGGATTGGCTGTTCCGCGGAGAGAGTTGGAGTAGAATGTTTGCAGAGTGCGTCATACAAGAGCTGGTGCGCGCCAAGAGGAGCCGATCGTCACTACGTAGGAGGTCCGTAGGGCTGAATGCTCGCGTCGCAGTGGTTGGCGGAACACGCAAAAGGAAGCAAAAGCGCTTCTTTTTCAATAACCATAGTTGTAAATAGTATATTGGGTAGAATCCAAGTCCTTTCGCTCCCCCTTGGTTGCTTGCGCTGCGTCGAACAGACCATCAAGCAGCTAAAAAATATATCTGTATACAGAAATAAATAGATAAGTAAAAAAAAATTAAAAAATAAAATAAAATAATAACTACAGCCGCCGCTCACCGCCTTGGAGTCGCGCGTCGCGCCGCCGACTTGCCGCATCCTCGACGTTTTTGCGCCCACGACGCGCCCACGCGCTCAACACCGTCACCACCATGCTGAGATGTCGCGCCACGCTGGGCCACCGCGCCGTTGCTGCCGCCATCTGCCCTTCGGCGCCCTTTCTCGTCCCGCGCAACCTCTTCCGCCCCGTAGCACGCCATGCCTCTGACTCCAGTTTCCTGCGGAAGGTTAGATCTCAACACCGAGAAACTAAAGTCCCGACCCGGCGCAATGAACCGATCCCCGAGGTTTGCACCCACGTTTTCTCCCATGTATTACCCGCGCCTGACCATATATTAGTCTCTCCGCGACTTCCGTTGGCACGTTGACAGATACATAATCGAACCGGTGGTACAGCGATATCCTCAGATGCTTCAGGAAGGCCTACTCAACCACAACGACTTCCTACACCTCTCAAGGTTGACTCACTCGATCCTAAGAGGCCCGAAGAATTCGAAAGAGAAGAAGCAATTGGCCGTCACCTTCTTGTACCAGCTGATTGGAGACTTGCAAGCTGGAAAAATATTCCCGCACCATCAGGGCATCATGCATCTGATTAGCATGCTGAAAGAGCGGGGGGATTACGACGGAGGCATACAACTATGGACTTGGTTGTCCAACAAGAGCGGCGACTATGTGAGCCCTTACGTATACGGAGCTGCCATCGAGCTGTTCACGTTACATTCGCTCCACACTGGAACGGGTGCAAAGCTCTCTGATCTCGAAAACATGTATGCAGAGGCCCTCAAACGGTTCCCTGGAGATTTTGCACAATACCATCTCCAGCCAAACGCTATACTGCCGGACCGAAGGGAGCTAGTTGAGATGAAAGGATTGCATATAACCCTTTTAGAGGGCATCACATACGCGAGACTGATGTTAGGCGAGTGGAAAAGCGCATACCTTGCGCTCGACACTGCTTTACGGCTTTTACCAACCCAAGCCCCGCTCCGTCTTTATGAGATGTTCATCTTCAACCGACCGCTGGCGGAAACATACAGGGTTTTCATGATAGCTTGCCGCTCCGGAATAGAGATTAGGTCGGACCTGCTCACCATCATGCTCTGTAAACTGACCGATAGCATGAAGAAATCTGGCACTGAACTGAAGCTGAATTCGATTGGTGCCATGCTCAATGCAATTGAGGCATACACAAGCGGCGGCTACAAGCTCTCCCCTCCACATCTCAGTCAACTTATCAAGGGGTTTGAGTCAGTCCTAACAAAAGTACCTTTGAAGGCGGTCCCGAGGATGGAATTCAAGGAAGGGCTGTCCCAACAAAAGCTGCCCGAGAACGAGCTTGGAGACAAGGTGCAGAACGCCGAGCCCTCTACAGAGAGCCAAGAACGTCCACCTCCTGGCCGGTTCAATCGAAACATTGCTGAAATAGCACGGGAAGTCATCATGAATTTCCATGCTAGTGGCGTTCCCGCATCAGATTCATCTTTCGCCACCTTGATTGGTCTGGCCGGAAGAGCAAGGTCAGCGGAAATCCTCGGCCTCTCTATCCTCGATCTTCAATCCAGCGGAGTAGAGCAGACTGATATTCTCCGCCGCATTATGGTGCTCGCTGCAGGCCAAATTGGGCACCAGTCACTGCTCGAAACAACGTGGAAGAGTATAGTGGAAGCCAGAATGGCAGAAGGTGTGACTTTCGACTGGTTGGATTGGATGGCTCTATCACGGGCTGCAAGATACGAGAACCGCTTTGCTTTTGTCGAAGAGCAACTGGAAAAGTATAAAGAGATTACGCCATATGGCGTTCCAGAGAAGATAAAGTTGGAGTTTGAGAAAAAGGGGGCAACGATAATAATGCCGACGGAGGCGGAAGAGAAGATGCTGGAGACCCGTTTGCCAGAGCTCAGAGCCCAAGCTCTAAGGATAGCTGCCCAAATCAAGGAACCAAGGCTCCGCAACTTGTATGAAGAGCCGCTTCCTAAACTGCAGGCGCCGGTATCGTCACCGATTCCCGAGGACATGCTTCGCACCATCTACGACGAGTTGACGAAGGATCCGCGGCAGCCCGAGAAACCGGAACCCGTCAGGGTAGCAGTCAGTCCTTCGGGGTATCCGGTCGACGAGCTCCGCTTTGCCAACTGGAAAACGATCAACGAGTGCATTATGGACGCAGCATATGCCGAAGAGCGGAGAAACCGGCTAAGGCATTTGCTTGACACTGCGCCGGCGTCAGAGCGCTATGGCGTGAGGCTGAAGCGGTTAATCGAGCCTCACCTCGATCCACGCCGTGTTCCGAAACTCACGGAGAAGGAACCGGCGGTCGAAGAAGTGACGTACACTCTGGAATCGGCGAGAGAAGAAATCCGGAAAATGAGAGATGTGGACTGGTCGCTGGAGGCTGGTTCAGGCATAGGCTTCTAGGTAACCTGAAAGGTCCAACTTGCACGTCTTCCTTTTTGTATAATTACTCCCACAGAAGTGGTCCGGGCTTCATCAGTTTCTACAAAGCCCGCAAGTCTCAAGCAAATTGTATGGTGGTATGTTCGAATGCTAGGTGATCACCTGATGCTGCAAGTGGTGATAACGAAGAAACTCAGGTCATGCATCAGTGGTACAACAAGCACAGGCGCAGTCAGCAGAAAGCTCAAAAGCCACACAAGTAGAGCATAACCGCACAGCGGCTAAGAAACTCGACATTATCGTCTACTGAAAGTCGTGCGAGAAGATGGTACAACATACGCCGATGGGACCATCGGAGACGTCTCGCTATGCGCCGAAACCATGAGTGATAAAAGTACAGCGCGACCAAACGCGGAAACCAGTGCGCACATCGCTCCCCCATCCCTAGTTTAAAGTTCCCAACCAACCGGAAGCAATAGTTTTTTGGCTAGCCCTCGCCAAAATAGCAAATACGACGCTCGAAAAACCAGGCAGAGATACAAACAAGCAGGCAAGCAGCATCAGGGCGGCCCTAAAGCAGAAGCCGCGAAAAAGAGAGAGAGAGAGAGAGAGGAAGAGGGAGAGAAAAGATGAGCTTTAAAAAAAGAATGAAGAAGAGTAGGAAGTAGTAGTAGTCATCGTCTCTCTTGCCACCATCACCATCACTAGTGTTGAGAAGCGGCAGTGGCGTGGTAGGTAAGCGGGTCGAGCCTAGCGGGGACTTAAGCGCCAACGACGCCCTCGTCCCGGTTCAGCCACCACTCCTCGATCTCCCTGTTCTCGGGACGGTTGATGGCCGCGAAGCCAAAGTCGACGGGCGAGGGCGGCGGCGCCTGGCACTCTTCCTTGATGGCCTTGGTGCGGGCGTCGATGGGCTGGGGCGGCGAGGCTTTCAGCGCGGCACAGAGGTCGTGGCCGAGGGTGCTGTGCTTGGAGAGAGAGAGGCGCTCGCGGGGGGCGATGGTGGAAGGCATTTTGGGTTTTTTTTGTTTGTTGCGGAGAAGAAAACGAGGAGGCTTGATGGGACTTTTTTTGTTTTTCGGTAGGGCCCGAGGTGTTGGCTGGAGGCGGACTGGGTATTTATATCACGTCTCCTCCGGGTGGGTGGGTGGTTTGGTTTGAGCTGCTTGGATGGGGTCGAGGCCGCGGAGACAAAGCTCGGTTTATACCGAGGCTGGACCGTGGATGCACAAGGGGGGCTGGTGCTGAATGCGGGAATGGCCTGTCAGTCTAATGGCCCCAGGATCCGAGAGGGCGGTTACGCAGAAGCTTAGCTTACGTTGGTGGATATAGTCTCGGAGAGTAAGCTCCTGAAATGGCAGGTCCGGGACGAGATTGGAGAGGTGGTAGTGGTGCAAGGCGGAGTATTGTAGTAGTAGTAGCGCTTAGGTCGATGGAAGAAGGCGGATTTGGTCGTGGATTTATCTGGGCCAGGCTGCGGACGGGGATGAACAGTGCTTTTTTGAGTTTCAGGAGAAGGTTGGAATAAAAAAAGAAGCGTTCGTTGGAGGCAGAAAGGGCTTGCGTGTACGTGTAGGATGGGAATTATCACAGCAATGATCGGAGAGGGCGGGCGGCAGCAGGCGGACAGCCGGGAAGGATGATCTGGTCCAGGCCTTGCCGTTAGGACCGACTACTTAAATAACGGCCTCTCATGCTTTTTTGCGCGCGCGCGCAACCAAGCAAGCAACGGGCCTGTCTCTGGCCTCACACCGCCAGACGCGGCCTCGCATGCGACGATGCGCGGGGCGTGCCAATACTCTGTCACCGCGAGCCCACCGGATCTGTGGGGGACTGGCAGCTAAATCGGCCCCCCTGGCTGCCCTTCCACCCTTCCCCGAGATGATCCTGCTGCCGTGTGCAGCGCCGTCTCCATCCATTCCATACCAGAGGCGTCACGGCTAGCCGTTTCGCCCAACGCTGCGTCGCAGATCCCATGTATGTGCCCCGCTGCACCCTGCTGCGTCGCGTTGCGAGCTGTGGGGAGAGACTGACTCTACGAGTACTGTAGCTTAGCTACTCCGACTTGCAGCCTTGCCTAGTACCACGGCAGCTCGCGTGCTTATGGCAAGGCGCGCAATCAAACGCGCTTGCTGCTCGAAGAGAGAGTTTTTTT